AGAACTGTAATCAAATTGAATAATTGCCAGAACAAATATTTACATTCTTTCTCTAATAAATAAAACTCTCAAGATAGGCGTTACATGGCCTAGATTTTCAAAAAAGCATTGAAAATTGTAGCACATCTTCAAAAAGACGTTTTAGGTACTACAGAATAAATAAAACATTCAGAATTCTCTGTTCTATTCTCTACAGGCACAGCTAAACGCACCCAAAATGCTCTCTGCTTCTGTAAACCAATGTGATCCCCGGATCTATGATCCCAAAGCTTGTGTAATTTCTCCTCCATTACATTTCTCCATCAGAGAACAGTCCATGATTTTACTAAACACAAAACAAGTCCACCTCCGGGACCCTGATAAACCCTGCTGCCTCAGCACTGGCTGCCCTTCAGAAGCCTGATTCTAAAATAGACGCCTGTGGAGGTGAAACAAAGCTATCAGGCAATGCAGACAAGCCTCAGTAGTCCTCTGCACAGACAGAGCTGCAAAGCCACTACTGAGAACCCCGTAAATGCTGTGTATGTGTGTGAAAGCCAGAATAAATCAAGCAGCCAAGTTTATATATATATAGGAATATATCAGGAAAAAAATAGCTGCTTGGTTGGTTGGTTTGCCAACTTTTGCAAAGTTCATTACATTGTGGCTATTTCAACGGGTTTTGCAAAGACAAATGTCCAGGTTTGTGTGTCCTACAATTAAAACACCTTCCAAGCAGAACAAGCTAATATATATATATATATATATATATATATACACACACACACAGTAACAACATCATCATTCTGAGCTTTTACTAAAAACAATCAGGATTTACATCCTGAAAGCACCACTGGCGCCGCCCATGTTTCATCATCTTCTCCTACTCCTTGTCTCTCCCTCTCTTTCTTCCTCTCTGTCTCTCAATGAGCCTATGACAAATTCTGTCATGTTTAATCAGTGGCTAAACTCCCAGTGGCTGCTGTTTCTCCACTCACACTCCCGAGAGTGAATTAATTCAGTGAATCAGGTTTTTATTGTCTCCTCGACACCCTCATTTGTTTGCCTGATGCCACCTGCTTCCCCTTTTATTCCCTCTTTTTCATGAACATGCTCTGACTCTACTGGCTCTCTCTTCCGTTCATTTACCATACCAGCTCACCACACCCTTTCTGCTCACACAGACTCTGCATGCTCTTTCCTGATTTCTCTCCCCCCTCGCTTTCTCTCTGTCTCTCTCTCACTGTGTGTGTGGGTGTGGAAAAATGCAGCATTGGGTAATTGTAAAGAAACAGAGCCAGGTCGCCATGACAACCTGAAGATGAAAGGATAAGATCAGACACTAAGTGCCAAGATTGCATTGTAACATCATTATGGCGTGTGTTTGGACAGGAAGTGAGGGAGACAGAGGAGTAAAGAGAATAAAAGACACATATGTTACTAACCTGATTATTACCTGGTCAGTGATTGTGACAATAAATCGTGGGTCATGTGCTCTAGCTCATAACTGTAGGACATAACTATGAATGGGTGATAGAGCAAAAAAAAAAAAGACATTATTCAATATTTTATGATTTATTTAGCTCTAAACTCACTTCAGGGAGTCAGGAGAACTATATCCTTGACCAAACAGCTATTATTGCAAATTTTATTCAAACATATTAAGGCTAAATACAATAAATATTCTGTGCTAAGATAATCGTGCAATGAAAATTCTTTTTTAAATGTAAAAGAATGTATTGTGAACAATAAATCTATCTTGCAGCACAACTAATATTGAATTGAGTTTTCTTCATACGAGTAGACCTCTTTGCATTAAGGCATATTACTAAAATGTAAAGCAATTAGCTGTACTGTATCTCAGTAATGTGCTTATGAAATCAATTTAATGCTCTGTACAATCCAGAGTCAGTGCAGGACTGTAATGAAAACTTTGCTGCTGACACTCTTACTAATATTGCTGGTCAACAAATATCAAATGCACAACCTCTGCTCATATCAAACTATCACAAACACACACATATAGACTCACTCTATAAACTGCATGACTGTGTTTGTAGTTGTTGCTACAGTGACTCTTGTCCTCAGCAGAAATGGAGCACAGGGTGGGGCTTCGGTGTGATTGACAGTGATGATGTCAGAACTATGAGCTCAGCCTGCAAATCATGGGCTCCTGCAGCCAGAACGGAAAATTACCGGCCCCTCCCCCCAATACATGTCTCCTCTCTCTCCCTCTCTTTGTATTTTTCCCCTCTACCTTTTATCCCATCTCTCTTTCCTCAACACCCCCACTCTCCTCCCTTTCTCTATCCCTCTTTTTCTCTCCCATCCCCCTCTTCTTCTACCACACAGGCAACATGCATCCGCTTAGAAGGAAAATCTCAGACAGTGCAGAGACAATAATAGAGCTAAATTCTGCTTTGTGTGGTTCTGCTAAACACAGCAAAGCACAAACCTGCAGGTGCACTGTAAAACAGCAGAGGAGATAACATT